TTACAGTGCAGTTTATGCAAAATTGCCGATAGCAATTTGCAAATTTAATGGCGTGAACAAATTCAATCAATGTATGCAAACAAATATCCTGGCAGGCAGGTCCTCCTTTGCTGTTGTCTGCCTCAGCAGCTAAAACTGTAAAAGGCAACAATAATCACAGCTCCTGCCCAAAGATAACACACATATACACATACAGAGTCTACTTTCGAAAAGCTGCCCGTGAGAAGGAGTATCTGCTATCTGAGGGCAGTCAGGTGCCATAATTGTTTGGCTCCTGTCCAGGGGAACTGCTGCAGCTGCTCCTGGGCCAGCATTTCCGATTCAAATTCGTTGTCTTGTTGCTTTTCCCAGATACTCCTGCTAATTGCTGGGCTTTAGCTCTGGCTCTGGCTCTGGACTATGCACCACCTCCATTATCATGCATTGCCGATGGACGAGGAGAAAAGAGTTCCTTTCTTCAGCCTGAAATATATGGCCAACATTTTCTTTTCTTTCTTTCTTTCATTTTTATGCCTTACAAATTTGTCTCTAGTAAGCGGGGCAAAATGACAACTCAACTTAAAAAGTTGGCCAAAGGCAGCGGGAAGCCAAGGAGCAGGCAGGAGCACCGAGCTCCCGGGGACTCGCTGGCAAAAAAAGAAATATATCTGGTAAATTATTGCAAAAAGCAGGCTGCAAATTAATGATAACGACCCCGGCCAAACACCTTCGCTTCATTCAACCACCAAGCAACCCACCCAAGGCTGCCAGGACATCGTCGAGTGCCTGGCACGCCGGGAATCCAGGACATGCCAAGGCATCGCCGCCTTAAGTGACATGAAACAACCAACTACTTACTTACGAAGGGAACCGGGGGGAGACGCCATATAGTGTGTGTATGTTGGAGGTCCTTTTGGGCTAGCTGCAGTGGGTATAAATAAATGCTTCCTGTTGCTTCACACCCGCACTATCCACGCACACACACTCTCCACCCTTCACGCATGCAAGTTATTTATGAAGACGAGTTTTTCATTAGCTTATCGGATCGCTGAAATAGCTATCAGCATTGGCCAGTGTCAGTGTCCTTTGACAGCACTCTTCTTTCTTTTTTTTTTTGGCTCGCAAAAACGTATATGAATATATCCTTCCAACAAGGACTTTGGAAAGTACTGTTCTTGCCGAAAAAATATTGCATTTAATTGATTAAATAGAGATATTGCCTTTGTATTATAACATTTTAATCTGTTATCAAGTTAATTTTATTTATTTTTATGTTTGCAATATTCATTAATTATTGTATTTTAACATCACTTTGAAAAAAAGCCAGCTAACTTTTGTGGATGTATCATCTCTAGTCTCTTTTTCAGCTAGAGCAGAGCATGCCCACTAATTAAAGGACCTATGGACCCCTTGGATAATCCTGGGAAAGTTAGCAACATACCTGATCCGATTTAGGAGGACATCCAATCGCCATATCGACATTATCCTCAATGCTGAGCATCTTGTATAGATCCTGGGAGTTGTCAAGAGCTGGCTTCCTGGAATATTGGGATTTCAGGATTTGAGTAGCATCCAGATTCGGACGTGGCCATGGAACTGCTTTGGATAAAATAATATTTAAGTTATTTATGTTATTTTAGATTATCCTAATTTCAGTTAAAAGCTTGAAACGCAGTGAAGGAGTCATTTCCGACCCTATAAATCATATATATTCTTGATCAGCATATACAGGCCTTTCTTTCTAGCTTTATCCGGTCGAAAAAAAATTTTTTCCGAAATTTCCGATTTTTTAAAAAAAAAGAAAGGGGTTACATCATGAAAATTTGCGAAAATCGGCCAAAAATTCACATTTTAAATTGAGTATGCAGTTTAGTTAACCTGCTAAAAAATTGCATACGGCCGCTTTCCGAATTGAAATTAATGCGTTTTTGGCTTAGTTATGAGATTTTTAAATTTTGATTTGTCGAAAAATTGTCATTTAAAAATTTCAACAAATATTGATTTAAAAATGCGAATGCTTTAAATTTACTTATTGTCGATTTATTGTATGATTAGATCCTATAATTCAATTGCAAACTGCAAGAGTAAATAAGCTTTGGAGTGCCGAAGTTAGCTTTCCTTCCGGTTTTACATTTTATTTCAGGCATTTGAAGTCAGAAAAATTACGTATACGCACTGGTGTAATTATACTTCTGGAGGCCATTATTATTTTAGTCAGATGCTTAAAACATAGTGAAGGAGTCATTTATAAATCATATACATTCTTATATCCTTATAAATCATATATACTTTGGGTTTCCCCAAAAATTCAGCATATAGAAATATCAATTTTTAATGAATATAGTTCCAGGTCTTCATGGTCATATATGAATACAGTATGTAACTGGCGAACGTTGCTCATCTTACACTTCTCTACAGTCTCTGGGGCTATACACTGGTTGGCTAATCCAATTACATAATTAGTTCAACTAAAGCCCAGGGAGAGCGAGAGTTTGTGAGTGTTGACTCCGGACCAAGGATTTACGATTTCGATTCTTTGTTTATCAAACATTTGATTTGATTGCCCAAAAATCTGGCGCACATTCGGCGGGAGCGGATGAAGGAGGAGGAGCCGAAATATGGCGTTATAATAATTTTCATTGCGAAATTTACACATGCATAATTAATTAGTATCAAAAATTTAATACTCACACTTTGTATCTGCTTAAATATTTACACTTCGTGCCAAATTTGTATGCAAATCGCTTTGCTACAGACTGACAATAACGAGTGTGTGTGTGTGTGTGTGGGTGTGGGTGTGGGTGTGTGTGCATGTGTATCCACACGCACAGGCACACGCCCTTACAGACACCAGCACCCATTCGCCCCCACACACAGACACACAGACACACAGACGCACAGACACACAGGCACACGCGAAATGTCAGACAATTAAAAAAGCATACATCATGGGGCATGCAACTAGCTCCGTTTTCCATTTAAGTTTTAATTCATTAAATCGATTTTTTGAAATGAAAATTTATTTGACAAATCATAGTTTAAAAAACCGAATAATTTAGCCAAAAATGCATTAATTTTAGTTCGGAGAGCATTTAATTGTTAGTTTTCATTAGCTTTATAAATCTGCATAAGTTTAAAACGTTAAAAAATTCACATTTTTATCAATTTTTTAAAGTATTAACGATGTAACCTCTTATAAAATTTTTGAAATTTTGAACAAAAGATTCGCCTGTTAACGCTGATCAAGAATATATATGATTTATAGTTATCATAGTTTAGTTTTATGCTTCTGACTGAATTTATAATACCCTTTAAAAAAATTAAATGCTTCTTTCACTTAGTTTTATGCTTCTGAATTTATAATACCCTTTAAAGATATGATAAACTTGTATACATTTATATTTTCTTCTTACTTTATCCAATATCCCCTATCCTTTGGGAATCCTTGATCCTAGTTGAAGGACCGCAACTGTGAGCCCGTCCAGTGTTGGGTAAACAGAATCGAAAACGGGTTGCCTGCCGCTGGCGTTCCTCTTGGCTCCCAAAGCTCCCAACCTCCAAGTCCACCGAGGCTGGTCGATTGGACCGTGGCTCTGGCCATCGCTCTGAGTCCTGGGAGCGGGAATCCTGCGAGCCAGGATGATGGCAGGGAGGGGGATTTTGGCAATGGGCTGGCAGAAGGGTCGGTTGCTGCTGGCGTTGATTGTTGTTTTTGAAAACCCTTTTGGTGTTTGCATTTAACGAACAGGGCCACAACGACAGCGGCAACAAAAACAACAATAGAGCCAATATAACAGTCGGGACGAGATGGGTCTGAACCGGGATGCTTTGCGATGGAATGGGCCTGGAATGGGCTAGGCCAGGGTGATGTGGGATGGGATTGGATTGGGTTGGGTCAGGACAGAGCAGGGGGCGGGTAGGTAGGTCGGTATGCCACTGGAGCTAATAAAAGGCTCGTTACAATGAAAACAAATCAAATCGCTGGCGAGGCCATCATCATCATTCGTCTGAACCAAAGCAAATCCGAGAGCGAAAATGAAACACACGGCTAACACCGCCGCCAAAACAGGAAGTAGTTTGGATTTCCGGTGTCATACGGAATGGGGTTTGGGGTTGGGGTTGGGGTGCATCCCCTAAATGTTTAAATTGATTACGGTGGGCGGTGGGTGTGGGTGTGGGTGTGGCTGGGGATAGGTGACCCCGCATCCCGGGGTCAGCTCAGCCTCACTTTGAAATGCCATTAAAATGTATTTACAAACGCAAATTGATACTGATTTTCGGTTTGGTCGATTTGGGGTAAGAGGAATAGGGGATGGTTGGTATATGTGGTAGAGCCTTGGCCAGGACCTCCTCGTGGTCGACGCGTTGACGTTGCAGCTTAGCCACGCCAGCAGGATTTGTTGGCATGCGTGTGCCATGCCCCCAGCCCGCAACAAACCGCGACTAACCGGACTCCATCGGACTCCATCGGACTCCGAGAGTGCACCTACCTAGTCAGGATTTCTGGATTTCCGGAGTTGAACGACCAGGAAGGGGAAGATTAGCCCAACATCCCTGACATCCTCTAGTTGGCTATAATTCCGACTGGAATAGAGTGCAGTTACTAGTGGAGATTCCTCTGAAGCCAGCAAGAGAAACGGAGCCGCAATCAGACAGCTACATGCCAAGTTTAACTGCAATTATTTTCAAATGAACTTCACTTGAAAAGCAATTCCGGGCATGTGTCTAATATATGCAAACAATTTAGCTGGCTGAGCAGCAGCAGGAGCTGGAGCAGGCGAAGGAGCGGCAGCAGGACCAAGTCCTGGCAGCACTCATGTGTGCGTGCGAATCAATATGCAGCGGCAGAAGGACGAGCCAGAGAGCCTGGGTAAACTTGGTAAACAAGAAGCGTGACAAAATGATAAAGTGTCGACTGGCAGTGGCTAAGAAAACAACAGCAACAACTTGTTGGGGGCCGCAGGCAGGTCCTGGCAGGTCCTAGTTGGCGTACGAAGGCACTGACAAGACCCATGGCAAAGTGAGCAATAAACATACGCGATTAAATTCATTATGAGCACTTGAATAGCACACAATGCGAATGCGAAATGACAATCCTGATTGCGATGTATGTCCTCGGAGTCCTGGGAGTCCTGGGAGTCCTGGGAGCTGCTGCCACAGCTGGTTGAGAAGCTCTATACATCAATTTCACATTGTTTCTGGTCAGGCTAGGGATCAGGACAAAGGGCAAGTGAGCTGGGGAGTCTGGGATTCTGGCAGCCTGGGACCTTATTCCTCCGCCTCTTCGTCCTGTCTACTGTTTTCCTGCTTCCTTCTTCCATACTAATTGCATCAAAATCAAAATCAACATGATTTCTTTTGCAGGACTCATCTCATCTGGCCTTGCCGGGAATCCATTGGGCGAATAATCTGAACCCTAATTGGTCCAATCAACAGTTTGGCGTATGGCCCAAATTAACCATGGCGAATTGTGGCATAATGTCCTGTCGGTGCAGAAGGTGCAAATTCCAGGCAGGTGTGTGTAGTTGCCCCGCGATAATTGCTGTCACAAACAGGGGGTTCCACGAACCAACCATAAACCATTGGCCGGCGCATGCATGTCCTCGCACCGTGCACCGTGCACCGTGCACCATGCACCGCAGTTATCCTGCCATGTCCTCGTGTCCTCCTGTCCGCTGTTTTTCACTCAATTTTGGTTTGTCGTCTGCAGGCTGCATGGTCACAGGTGGCCGAGTCCAGTGCTTGACCGCCTCCTCCTGCTCGACCTGTTGCATGCGCCGCCTCTTCATCATCATCTTCATCAACATAATCACCACCATGCGGGCTGGAGGAGAGCCAACACCAGAGACACTTGGGACACCAGTCGGAGGTGCGCTGAGTTCTCTACGATCCAATCGTGATAGTAATAGACATCGGTGTAAACACCAGCCGAGTACTTTTCACCGCAACCCTCGCCGAAGGACACAACGCCGATGAGCTTATTCTCTGAGATGAGTGGCCCGCCGGAGTCACCCTGGCAGCTGTCCACTTCGCTGTCGTCACGATTTCTGGCACAGATCATTCCCTTGGGATTGAAGTTGGCCAGCTTCGTGCATTCAGAGTTGGGTAGAACTTCTAGATCACCATTGATGGCCTCATCGGGACTGGGACCAAACTGGAAAAAAAAGGAAAGCATTCATCAAGTGAAATCAAACCTGATCTCAGTCCCTCTCTCACCTGGACGACCGTGCCCCAGCCGACAACGGTGCAGAGTTGCCCTGGAGTGGTTGCCTTATCGGCCAATGGTATTATGGCAGCGGCTTCTGTTGGGCTGACTTCGTCCCTGAGCTGGAGCACGCCAAGGTCATGCCTGTACTTGCCAGGCCTGTACTTTGGATGAGGCAAAACTTTCTTCACCCGTAACTCCTGGGTGGTGGACGCCTCCTCGAGCCTCCTGGGTGTGCCGGCGAAGACCCTTAACTTCCTGGCCTGAATCATCATACCTCTTCTGCAAGTGGGGAAAGGGGGGGTGTTAGTGAAATGGACAAATGGATTTCGCATATAAATACACACTTGGAGTACATGCAGTGGCCCGCCGTCAAGATGGCCCGCTTGCTGATGATGGATCCGCCGCACATGTGGTTGGTCCCAAAGAATCTCTTGGCATCGCCAAAGCGTATGGACACCGCATACTTGACCAGGTCGTTCACCGGCGGCCTATAGCCGCCCGTCACCAGGTAATGGAAGTCGGACGGTTTGGTCCCATTGCTACTTCTAATCTCTCGCCACTGGATGAGCTCGTGGGAGAGGGGATCGATTCCCTGGACCAGGTGGGGCGCAGTATATAGAAAATATAGTAAAAAGCACGTAACGAATTTTGAGGGTCTCATTTTCGAATTTCAAATGTCATTATACAAAAAAAAATGTGTCTTGAAAAAATATATTCAGTGGACTCATGTGTTAACCCTAAATAAATATTAAATGAATACTTGTCATGTTGTGTAGGAATACAGGTACAATATGAAATAAGAGGTTGAAAAAATAAGGTAATAAATAAAAAATAAAGTAATAATAAGTAAAAACTAATATTTAATAAGTTTATTTATTTCATGAGTGCTCCGATAACTTACCTATAATAAAATAATAATTAAGTGTCATGAGACGGAATATATGAATATGTGTAACTTTTGGCAATCATTCGCTTTTTACTTACCAAAAGAGAAAAAACTATTTATTATGCATTTAATAAAATGAATAAAATCATTTTTTTGGGAAATTCAACATTCTAAAATGTAATAACTTGGCCAAAAAACAATTCATTTCAATTCGGACGATTATAATCAGTAATTAACTCTGAACAGTAATTATCTATACATGACAAGTAAGTAAATATGACCAGTAAGTATCTATAACCAGTAAGTGTGTATGATCAGTCACTTACTTTGAAGACTAATAAACAATGACTTGCAACTTTTTAAACACAACACATTCCTGATAATTGGCCGGCAGCAGTCACTTCGTTCCGGGGATGTTAGAACAAGTTGGGAATCATAAGCATGGATGTGTGAGATTTGTTTTGAACCAATTTAAGAGCAAGCTATTTGAATGAAACTATAAAGTTATTCGTCTATATAATTTTACAACTTTATAAATCGAACCATGGCGAATCGGTGGACTATATATATATATATATATATATAGCTGAAATAGGAACAATCGGACGATTTATAGAACTTTGATCAGTAATTAGCTATGACCATAATTATCTCTGAACAGTGAGTATCTATGACCAGTAATTAACTCTGAACAGTAAGTAAATATGTCCAGTAACTAACTCTGATTAGTAAGTATCTTTTAGCGTTTAGTAACTCTGATTAGTAAGTATCTATGACCAGTAAGTATGCATGTTTGATCAGTTACTTACTTTGAAGACTTGTAAACAATGACTTGCAACTTTTGTAACACAACACATTTCTGATACTTGGCCGGCAGCAGTCACTTCGTTCCGGGGAGGTGAGAACCAGTTGGGAATCATATGCACGGATGTGTGAGATTTGTTTTGAAGCAATTTAAGAGTAAGCTATTTAAATGAAACTATAGAGTTATTCGTCTGTATAATTTTACAACTTTATAAATCGGACCATGGCGAATCGGTGGACTATATATATATATATATATATATATATATATATATATAGCTGAAATAGGAACAATCGGACGATTTATAGAACTTTGATCAGTAATTAGCTATGACCATAATTATCTCTGAACAGTGACTATCTATGACCAGTAATTAACTCTGAACAGTAAGTAAATATGTCCAGTAACTAACTCTGATTAGTAAGTATCTTTTAGCATTTAGTAACTCTGATTAGTAAGTGTCTATGACCAGTAAGTATGCATGTTTGATCAGTTACTTACTTTGAAGACTTGTAAACAATGACTTGCAACTTTTGTAACACAACACATTTCTGATACTTGGCCGGCAGCAGTCACTTCGTTCCGGGGAGGTGAGAACCAGTTGGGAATCATATGCACGGATGTGTGAGATTTGTTTTGAAGCAATTTAAGAGTAAGCTATTTAAATGAAACTATAGAGTTATTCGTCTGTATAATTTTACAACTTTATAAATCGGACCATGGCGAATCGGTGGACTATATATATATATATATATATATATATAGCTGAAATAGGAACAATCGGACGATTTATAGAACTTTGATCAGTAATTAGCTATGACCATAATTATCTCTGAACAGTGACTATCTATGACCAGTAATTAACTCTGAACAGTAAGTAAATATGTCCAGTAACTAACTCTGATTAGTAAGTATCTTTTAGCATTTAGTAACTCTGATTAGTAAGTGTCTATGACCAGTAAGTATGCATGTTTGATCAGTTACTTACTTTGAAGACTTGTAAACAATGACATGCAACTTTTGTAACACAACACATTTCTGATACTTGGCCGGCAGCAGTCACTTCGTTCCGGGGAGGTGAGAACCAGTTGGGAATCATATGCACGGATGTGTGAGATTTGTTTTGAAGCAATTTAAGAGTAAGCTATTTAAATGAAACTATAGAGTTATTCGTCTGTATAATTTTACAACTTTATAAATCGGACCATGGCGAATCGGCGGACTATATATATACATATATATAGCTGACATAGAAACAATCAGACGACTTATAGAACTAAGATCAGTAATTAACTATGACCAATATTTAACTATGACCAGTATTTAAGTATGACCAGTAATTAGCTCTGAACATTAATTAACTCTGAACAGTAATTATCTATGACCAGTAAGTAACTCTGAACAGTAAGTATCTATGACAAGTAAGTAACTATGACCAGTAAGTATCTATAACCAGTAAGTGTGTATGATCAGTTATTTAATTTGAACACTTGTAATCAATGACTTGCAACTTTTGTAACACAACACATTTCTGATACTTGGCCGGCAGCAGTCACTTCGTTCCGGGGATGTTAGAACAAGTTGGGAATCATAAGCATGGATGTGTGAGATTTGTTTTGAAGCAATTTAAGAGCAAGCTATTTGAATGAAACTATGGATTTATTCTTCTATATAATTTTACTTGTATATAAGTCGGAGCACGGCGAATCGCTGGACTATATATATGTACATATATATAGCTGACATAGGAACAATCAGACGAGTTATAGTTATGACCAATAATTAACTATGACCAGTAACTAAGTATGACCAGTAATTAGCTCTGAACATTAATTAACTCTGAACAGTGATTATCTATGACCAGTAAGTAACTCTGAACAGTAAGTATCTATGACCAGTAAGTAACTCTGAACAGTAAGTATCTATGACAAATAAGTAACTATGATCAGTAAGTATCTATGACCAGTAAGTGTGTATGATCAGTTACTTACTTTGAACACTTGTAAACAATGACTTGCAACTTTTTTAACACAACACATTTCTGATACTTGGCCGGCAGCAGTCACTTCGTTCCGGGGATGTTAGAACAAGTTGGGAATCATAAGCATGGATGTGTGAGATTTGTTTTGAACCAATTTAAGAGCAAGCTATTTGAATGAAACTACGAAGTTATTCTTCTATATAATTTTACTTGTATATAAGTCGGAGCACGGCGAATCGGTGGAATATATATATATATATATATACGTATATATAGCTTCCATAATAGGAACAATCGGAAAATTTTAAGAAAAAAGTATTATAACTATTTCAGTTTTCAACAGATTTTATTTAAATTAAATATATAGCCATAATATATTAATCTAGAACTTTGTGTAAAACTGTAAAAAAAATCGGACTACTATATAATATATCTGCCATAGAAACGATATTTAAAAATTGTATTACTTACTAACAATTGCTTGCGTTACGCAATTTAAACTTTAGAGTCTGCCCAGAGAGGACATAGGATATCCTGGCCACCACCTCTCCTCCTCCTCCTCCCCAACCATCTCACCCAGAACTCAAGACAGCACTTCGATGGCAATAATAACAAAACATTAAGTGCGAACAAAACGACCTAACAAATAGACAAACAAACATGCCAAAGGAGTCGAACAAAGCCGGTTGGATGTGGATACAATGTAACTAACGCCTCGGAATGGGGGCAGGATTCAAGTTGATTGGGATCCGGGATTGGTATAAGGATTTGGTATAGGCATTGTCATGGGATGGGGTTGAGTGGGGATGGCACAACACAAAGGCGATGGGATATCAAACAAGAAATTCTATTAAAACTTTTTCACTTTCCGGCGCCTCGTAAGTGTTTCGGATTCAAAAGCCAAATATCCCAATAAATAATTTACTATTCCGTGTGCCGCAGTGGTAGCTCCTTAAAGCGCATTAGCCAGTTCCCGCCGCAGAGGGTCCTGAGTCCTAAGTCCAGTCCGGATTGGTGGTTCCCCGTAAATCGACCCAGGAATACCCAGTGGTTCTTGAACTCCCTTTGCCACGATATACAACATAATATCTATATGCTTGAACCTCAAGTCCAGGATACCCTCCTGGAGATAGGATTTGTATCCTGTTGTGGAAACTTTCCAAGGCTGATAACTGCGGCTGACGCGGGAGTCTGGGAGTCACCGTATCCGTACGGCTACGTACCAATTACTCTCTCAACGGGCTCTCCAGGCTCTCCAGGCTGTCCTCCAAGAGGACAAACAGAGTCTGTCCAGCAAAAGTCCTCGCCGTCGAGTGCGAATCTGTCTGCGAAAGTGTAATCTACGACCAAGACCACTGCAGACTATTTGTATTAATTTCTTGTCGGCGACTTGGTGGCCTCGTCAGATGCTGTGGGGGAATCTTCAATCCCTCTCCCTATCCCTATCCCCACAGGTCGTCCTGCGTCCCAAGCATGTGCCAAGGCCAGCAGGCCATGTCAGATGCTGGGGAAAAGTTCTGGTAAAAATGAAACGCTTTGGCTTGTTTTTGTAATTGTTTTCAGTTAACAAGCTAATTGCAGGTTTTTTGGCCACCTCAGAGATTATTTTATTATAGAAAGTGAGGACTAGTACTTACCAGTAGTTTATCGGAATTAACTATATTTTTATATGCAAATTTTACGACACATCAAAATTTAATTTAAATTAAAATCTCATAACTAAGCCAAAAACGCATTAATTTCAATTCGGAAAGCGGCCGTATGCAATTTTTTAGCAGGTTAACAAAACTGCATACTCCATTTAAAATGTGAATTTTTGGCCGATTTTCGCAAATTTTCATGATGTAACCCCTTTCCTTTTTTTTAAAAAATGGGAAATTTCGGAGAAAAATTTTTTTCGGCCGGAGATGACTTAAAAGATTCGCCTGTAGATGCTGATCAAGAATATATATGATTTATAGGGTCGGAAATGACTCCTTCACTTTCTTTTAAGCTTCTGAATACAGGTCCATTACCATTTTTGTACCGATATTAACAATATTTTTATTTGACATTTTTCGACAAATCAAAATTTAAA